AAAATAATGAGGGTCACCAATGCTTCCAGTTGATTATACGATAACGTCACAAAACCAAAAGCGATATTGTTGTCAGGTATGTGTAGAACCATGCCATTGGTGACTGTAGGGTTTCAGGAATGCAGTTTTGCAAAATACGTCGAGGATGAGGGAGGGGGGGGGGGGGGGGTGCAGAAAAATGGCTGAGCCTGCCTCCGAAGTGCACATAAAGCAGTTTTGTCCCCAGATTTGGCACACTTTCTTTTCAGAACTGGGGGTAGCGGTGTAGTTTCTCAAAATTTACTTTTGGGGACTGAACTCTCAAAAATGAGCATTGATGAAAAATAATGGATAAGAAATTATAACTTAAAAAAGACTTCGGTGTTTGATGGCCAACAAATGACACTTCAGAGCAAATGAACTCCTGAAACGAAAATATTTAATAATTATGTCGCATTACATTTTTTGTCTTTGTTTTGTGGTGTGTCGCATTTAGAGTTATGCTGCAACGGTTTCTGAAACGCTTGGCTCCAGGTGACAATCTAAATGACCTTAAACTTTGTCGGCAACAGAAAAGTCACTTATATGGCTCGTGATCATGCTGTTAAACTCTTCATAGACACCGCTCATCCAAAAATCCATCACTTCCTTGGCGGGTCACACCCGTGTTTTTGACGGACCATATACACGCGAATATTGCAACGGCAAAATAAGCAATTTGAGCTTACACAAGTCCAACAAATGTACTCATGACCTTGAAGTGCTGTTTGATGTCACTTTAAACAAATTGCTATTGCATCGGGTCAGGCCCGAAACCCTACTGAAATCACTTGCCATTTGAGGTAGGCACATTTTATGACACAAAAACCGTGCGGGTGATGACGTAAAATTGCAAACCAGCCAATATTATCCGGATCATGAAGGAGGTTTCTGGCTATCTGACGTGGAGAGTTCCTAGTCCTAGGCGAGAGTTAACCCTTGCCCTGACAGGGTGCGGGGATCGATACCACTACTCCTAAGGTTTTCTGAAGATCTTTCTGCGGATATCTTTGTAACGTCGTCCAGATTCTGCTTGGCCCTTCAAGCACTTATGCCGCATGTTTTGACATAAAACGCGTGTCTCTAGCGCTTCTGGTTTCTGTGCAACGAATATTTTTAGGAACAGTGCACGGCGACCCACGCAGGGCACGGGCGACTTTCGGTAGTCGACAAACTGCCGGTTGCGGATGACCCTGTGATATAAGTGGAGCCCTGTTTGATAAATATATACTCAGAATACACAGAAGCGCACATAAGTATTCTCAGAATTAAACAAAGGACACATTTTCATACTGAAACTCTTTTTGTGAGCGTTCGTCTAAGAATTAAAAGGGACATTGATATTAAAAACAGTGTGGTGCCCGCGACTTACGCCATCTGAAAACATCCGTAGCTTTGGTTCCAGGTCAAAAGTTGACCTTTAATGTCAAGGTAATGATCTTAACCAGATATCGAAAATGATACACGATGCTGCAACCGGGATAATTCCAAACATATGAAGTAACTTTACAGGCACCAGCGTATTCTTTGTTGTCTTCCAGTTCTCAGGCAGCCCGTTTTTGTCTGGAAATGAGTTAAGTATCTTCTTAGGTCACGAAACATCATTGCAGCTGCTGTCTGCGTTTGTAGCACATCTCCATCAAACACACTGCGAACTAAATTATACACTAATTACGTCTTCTGTACTGATCTGACCTACTGCAGCTTAGTCCTAATAAATTCATTACAACTGTTCGTACGAATCTCGTTAGAATTATATTTAGGTTACAGGCAGTGATAAATTTGTTTTCAAGTGTAAGCCATTAATTCCGTATAAAGTAATTGAGCTTGTTAGACTAAGATTGACCTTTGATGACATTGATTCCTCACCCCAAGACATGATCAGGCCTGACATCCTTAACGTTGAAATTGATACTGATAAAAGCTTATAAAATATCCAACTTGCCAAAGAGCGAACTGCACTGCCAATCTGACGGGAAAACTGACTGACATGACCTTCAAAAAAGTTCATTGTTCATAGGCTATTCATGGAAAAATGCTACAGAATTAAGAGGACTGGTACACTTCTCTTATTCAGCTGTTGTAATTTCAGAATAATATATTCTATGGCTACCAAGCTTTTTAAACGAACTGTTAACGTACGCAGTTCGCCCCTCCTCACTTTTCTTCATGGGATGAGTGCTGATCGAGTGGGAGAGGTGGAATAGTGGAGATCTTGCGATGCTTAAGGAAAACTCCGTCCAAGAAAGCTTGCACAAGCATTTGTACGCCTGCTTCGCTGCCCCAATGAAAAACGATGAAATCTTAATTATCTAGCTTTGCAGTTTAAAAAACAGTTCTGGGTGCCCAGCTTGCGGAGATATGGCACATGTTAAAAACGGCCGGTAGCGGGCAAATCTGTGTTGCCGCCTCGTGCACGCGTGACGCACAGCACGTGCGGCATGACAATGTATACATGTATACAACATGACTGTCTGTTCGAATGCCTAAAAACGCATGCCACTCCCCAGTGGCTGTGTGCCCTGGGTGCTGCGATGTGCCACAAAGTCTTTAAACCTGTCAAAATACAAAATTCGATCTTTTCGAAGCGTGTGGGTGTTACACGTAACCCGTTCGTACGCAAGCGTGGGAACTCACGACTGGCCGTTTAATTCCTTACCGGTGGCATACCAGTCCCGTGTGGCTACAATGTGGCGTCAAACGCAAAAGACGAAGAAATTGGCGAAGTGGATCTTCACAGCTAGTGTGGGCGTGGAACGTGGCACATGCGACATCACATCTTACACCATTTGATTGCCCACTAGATTTTCTATCGAAGCATGGCACTTTGGAATTGCTTTATTCCCTGGGTGCCGCGATATCGCAAAAACGTGTAGACTCGTCCAAGATAGCAAAAATAATCTTTGCACACGTCGGCGCCATGACACGTGGCACGTGTGACCAAACTTGCCATCTTACTCCTTCCACTCCTTATTGAAGCATGCGATTTCCGAATGTGTCCGCGTCCTGGGTGCTGAGATTTGACACAAAACATGTAAACCCGTGGAAAAGAGCCAAATCCATCTTTGAGCGCTGCTACGTGATACGTGAGACCATACCATTCCTTATGGTACATCTTTCTTGTTCCTTGTTCCTTTAGTATAATGCCACTTTATAACAATTCATACAGCACAACGCATGCAGAATTGTGCAACACATTGCTGAGAACAGCATGCACCTGCAAGCAGTGGTTGCAGAGTTAACAGCTTCAATAAAGCGTGGCAGCAACATAGGGCCAGGCCGCGCCAGCTGTAACTTATCTTATAGTTGAAATAAGACTCGCTCGCCTGTGGCGTCGCTCGTAATGCCTCATGACAATGAATTCCAGCGGTTTCATATCCGTTATTGCAAGCAGCCGTATGTTGAGTGGGCTTTACGAGAACGCCGATTTTATGCTGAAGCCCAGCAGGGCCCAGCCCCCTTCACCCCACCCGGCGTCGTCCTCGAAAAGCTGATATGTCTGCAGTCGCCACCCCAGGCTCATTTTGATTTGGGCCACGAGAAAGTTATTACTCATAAGTTGTGCTGAAGAAATTAGGCATTTAAACACAAGAGAGGTTTCCCTGAACGTTGCAATGTCGCTACGCTTCGCATCTCCCATTGCACTATCATGAAAAAGGTTCGACGTTCTAGAAGCGGAAACGATGAATTACACAGATTCCGTCCCGTGCCAGGTCTCGGCAACCCGGCATCGCGGGGAAACGAGACTGATGGTCTCTGACAGAGGAAAAAGCAGACAGCAATAGAGTCAAACCTGTGAGTTAAGGCGTGCAGACTGTCATGCGCTTACGTGCACAGCGCACGGATTAGCCGTTTTGGAACGGTTTTAGGGAGTGATGCCATATCTCAACAAGCCGGGCAGAAGTGCAGACGTGAAAGCACGTGCATGAACATATCACTACGAGCACGTAAAATAAGAGGCAGCGCCAGTAGCCACCTAGTTTTGACCTCCTCAGGGAAGGTAAATTAGGGTAATTTGAGCACTCTGATAAGTTGATCCCCCCCCCCCCCCCCCTCCTCCTCCACGTTTATCTTCTCTCACAAGACTCTATTGATCTGTTTCTGATTGGTCGCCTGACGGGCCTTTTAAGAAGCCCGGCTCTTCCTGCCTGACGTGAACGGCAGCGGGTGGGCGATGAGTGTGCTATGAGCATAAATGTTGTTCTATGATATTAGTTTAACCCATCTACGCAAATATTTCCGAGATTGTGCAGTGTTTTGTGTTGTTTTTAATCTTGAAGATATTGTTTATTTACTGACTTCCGTGTATTCGGCCATGTCTGCTCCTGAAATCGTCATAGATTTCGCGCGGCTGAGCTTGAAAGCAGATCGTCAGTCATGCTGATTCATTTGCCATGTCGTAGTGGGACAGCTTGCTCCAGCACGAATGTGGGTAAGATGATTATGGCTCAACTTATCACACTGCAGGAACGGTACATCATAGTTAAAGTGTCTGACTCCTGCCAGCGTTTTCACTGAGCACACGGTGGGGACATTTTTCATAACTTGGAGAGAGTGCGCGAAAAACACCCATTTTTACCTGAGAGCATTTACAACGTTGATGAGACAGATGTAACCACGGTGCAGACACCGAACAGACTGGTGGTGAAAACAGATCGAGACAGGTGGGCTTCACCACTTCCGCAGAAGCAAGAAAGTTGTGCAGCCAACACCGTCGGAAATTTTGCCCCACCACTCATCAGCCTTCCTAAAGTGAACTTCAAGGACCGCTTTCTTCGTGGCGCACCTACAGGCATTACAGGATATACAACGAAACGTGATGGGCAAACTAGGATCTATTTCTCAAGTACCTCACCCACTTTCAAAGGCTAACATTCGGCAGAGCAACAAGTCCTCCTCATCCTGGGCAACCAAACCGCCCATATCTCCCTTCAGACAAGTGAGTTTGCTCGCGGCAACGAAGTCACGCTTCCGCCGCGCACATTTCATCGCCTTCAGCGTCTGGACGTAGCGCTTGCGCCGCGCACATTTCATCGCCTTCAGCGTCTGGACGTAGCGCTTGCGCCGCGCACATTTCATCGCCTTCAGCGTCTGGACGTAGCGGTTTTCGGTCCCCTGAAGACCTACCACAAGAGAACGTTGACGGACTTTATACGGCAAATTCCGGGCAAGACGGTGACAGACTACGACGCCACACAAATCGCTGATATCGCGGACACCAAGGTCTTCAGCGGGTCCGACACTCTGCTTTCGTTGAAAGCATTTGGGACCTTCTCTTTCAAGAGAGAAGCCTTCCCAGAACACGCATTCCCGCCGGAAGATAAGACCGACAGGCCGCTTACAGGATGCCTCCGGTGTCGAATCAAGTGGTGCCCTGCAGAGAGCGGGCGTCACAAGCGCCGGACCAGGTGACGCCCTGAAGGAAGCGGGCGTCACAAGCGCCGGACCAGGTGACGCCCTGCAGGGAGCAGCGCCTCTGGCGTGGGACCGGGTAATCCCCTTTTACAGACTGAGCTGGGATCCGATGGAACGGTGATGGCCACACAGGTCATCTATGTTACAGTAGAAGCCATATAACCCATACCAAGAGCTCCACCATGAAAAAGTGTAGCATACGATAGTAAGCGAGGAAGCTCGGTGGTATTGACACCGAGTTCCATAAAGAGGCGATTCCGGCAAGAACATCAGAAAAAGAGGAGCAAGCCATTACGCGGGATACCAGAGCCGCAGGGCGGAAAAGCAAAGCGGAAATCGACGGAGAAGATAGTGCTGTGTTCCAACGATATCGGTGATGTAGATGAAGATGCGCGATTACACGTCACTGTGTAAAAGCCAAAAACATCTATGCATTCTCAGATGACACATACTGCTCAGCCTGCTACACTACGTGGAACTTTTACATCACCCACGGGACAAAATGCACTGGTGGATCTTGCCATAAAGATTAAAAATTACGTTAAATATACATAAAGTTACATAGACCACTACCACACTAATACGTGCGTAAACAAGAAACGCTTCGCCGTGCATTGTCAAAATCTCAAAATTTACATTCATATTATCACGGCTTATCAAAATGTAGAAAATGGCTTATCTTTCACTATTTTACCCTGCCAATTAAATGATATCATTAACTCAGGTTGGGTCAAAGAAACAGCTGATAAGCCCGTGATTGCCCATCTTGGCATGAATGCTCCCTGAAGTTACAGTACATACATTTCACGTTAAAAGTGTATGTTTCATTGTGTCAGGTCAGAGGATTTGGAGTTTTTAATCTCTAGGATCAAAACGCAGCTTTACCCGTGATTGGAAGGATGCCGTAACTCTGCGAGACCGGGTCGGAACAAAGCTGAAATGGCTCTTTCTGAAATCCACAGAGCTCCGTCCACGGTGCGTCATGCGCAGCGATGCGTACTCGCATTTCATTGTCAGTGTTGCTTCGCCGCTCTCATCTTCCTGCCTCGCTCAGTCCTGCCCCGGCTTTACCTTGCCTCGCTCGGTCCTGCCACGGCTTCACCTTGCCTCGCTCGGTCCTGCCACGGCTTTACCTTGCCTAGCTCGGTCCTGCCACGGCTTTACCTTGCCTCGCTAGGTCCTGCCGCGGCTTTACCTTGCCTCGCTCGGTGCTGCCACGGCTTTACCTTGCCTCGTTCGGCCCTGCCACGGTTTTACTTTGCCTCACTCGGTGCTGCCACGGCTTCGCACGTTCAGTGAAGCCCACACAAATGGTTCGAAGCCAAGTCGCCAGCGGCGCGCGGCTGTACGTGACGCACCCGCACCAGGTACACATACTGCGACAACGGCCACGCACGGGCCGCTGTTGCCAACTCTGTTGCGACACTGGCTGGGTGGCTACAGCTTGATAATGTGGGTGCATCAATCTCATGTTTCAGGAAAATCTTGCCAGCTTTAGAAAAGGTGATGGTCTGAAAGGATTCATTAAGGCTAATGCATGTGTACGTACACCGAAACGCTGCATAACAAATTTTGTGACATGTTTTGCCACACGGGCAGTAGACGGGCCAACGAACATAGAAATGGGAAGATGGGAACCATAGCAGTAGCTACCCCGTTAAAACAAATTCACCTACCATTTACTTAAATTGCTTGGCAGTGAGCATAGTTATCAACCGAATAACGCCTGATTATTTCGTATCTGATGGTTTGTATGTGTCAACACGCGTCGGCCCTTTAAACTTTTTTTTAGGGTTGAGGAGCGGGGAGGAGAGAGTGGCACGTTCGTAATGTCCCTCTTTGGATCGAGCAGCGTTTGTGCAGCTGTCAGCCCCGTTCCACCTGAGGGGAACGGGGCTGACAGCAGACAAACCAGTGAGTGTCTGCGTTGTAAATGGCCCCGTGCGCCGCGGCGAAAACAGCCTCTCCATCAGCCTATCAATTTCTTGGTCTGAGCGGCTGCCGTCAGGATCCCCGGCTGGGGAGACACTGTCCATCAAAGCACGGAAGTGGTGCTCCGCGATAGCTCACTCATCTCAGTGGCGGCTCGGGTGGCCGCTCTTTTGCGCGCATTCAATCCGATTTGATCGGGTGGTAATAAGAGGGTGCTCACATCTTGCCCATTTACATCTTCGAAAAGACACCCAAATCCTCGCCCTGATTCGCCCAAATCCTCGGGGAGGGGTTCGATGTGATGCCACTGCTCTCTTCAAACCGGCAAGAAAAGAGCCTTGCTGAAAGCAACCGAGGCGTGACTTTAATGATACCTCGCAATTGGCTGTAGGTTTGATGTTGTTACGCCAATAATTTACCACATCATGCGAGGTCAAAGATCGCACTTTTCAAATTTACATGTGCACATCGAGACCATGTTTCCTAGCTATACGGAATCGAAGCTAGTATTTTCTTGCTCACTTATTAATACAATAGTGCGTAATGATGCGGATTTTGGTCAAATGTGTGATGCTTGAAACCGTTGAATTAACAGAGTCGGTCCATCGCGAGTGGTCCACGGAATCGTCGGCTGCCGCCTGCCGCCCGCGCACAGCCTTACATCGCCGGACAGTGTTCCTAAAAACCGCTGCTACCCGCAACCAGAAAAGCCAGGAACACGTTTCGGTGTCAAAACACGGGTAATGGATGCCCCATAGGCAACTGAAAATGTGGGCGTAGTTGCACAACATACTGGAGAGGTGTGCTTAGAAAACCGTGAGAGGGGATCGCACCGACCCGCTGATAAGGCGAGGCTTTATCTAAATTATCGCAACATATGGCATGAAATAAAACCTGCAATAGGCTACGTCTTTAAAAGCAATGACACTTTATACCGTAGATTGAAAGCATAGCTATTTCCGTCGCATAATAATTCATTTTTTTAGTTAACAGTTTTGTAAATTTTACCAAAACAACATGTTTTATTACGATGCTAAAATCAGTCACCGTATGGCTTGATGGATAACAATCCAAAAATATATAAACAGAAAAACAAGGCGACTGGCACAAACCCCGGAAAGTACATTCGCCTTATGCAACCATTGCGCAAGCTTTTAGCGGCACATAGAAACTTCAAACTGATAAAACTCATTCAGTTCGGAACTCATTTATTTGTATTATGCGTATTTCGGTGATTTAAGTCACATTTATTGAAAAGAAAATGCCCATTGGAAGTCTGACAGAGATATACACATTATACGATAATGCTGACGATATAAACGATATTGCTGATTCATACGGCAAAATACATGCCCAGCCAACATGCGTATATATATATATATATATATATATATATATATATATATATATATATATATTGATATTGACATTACGCATGAATGGCGCGTATCTCGTGTGTGCGGATTTTCATATAATGTCCTGCCTGGTATCATTCCAAGTCGGTTGCATCCAAATGTATTGTCAGAATGTTTGGACGCTTTATTTTCAAATGGCCGAAAATCCTGCATAAATTGGACGGGTCGGTACAAAGTCCGGGATAAAGAAAGCTGCAGACTATCTACACATCTATATAAAGTATTTGCATGCATTGTCTTGAATTACTGTAAGTCCATGCTAGGCCATGCAATAAAAATAGAGATTCGAGCTTGATTAAGTCATTCGTTTGACCCACAATTTTAGTGAGGAGGTCACAAAACGTCTCTGCCTTGCCTGGTCTGCGCAGTGAACAATCATTGTCCTGCAGTACCTTGCCGTGAGCGAGAACGACATGAATATTGGATTTAACGAGCTTATGCTGTCTCATGCCTGGACCCATCATCCACGCTCTATGCATGCTCATAAATGAAATAATTTAGCACGGAGATGGCAGGCTCCCAACCTGGAAACCACTCCCGCCGCTGAATCAGGTGGCCGTGTCTTAACCGAGGATGACACTGCCTATATTAAGTTGGAAATTCAGCTCAGTCGTATTCCGTTTGGGGCGTAAGCTTCTTCCAATTTGGTCAAATCTGGGCCTCGGATGAATCCGCGAATTGACCCTATCCGTGACGTGAGGTCACGTGACGTGTTGTAATGCAAAACCCCTGGCCGATGCAAACAGCTTGATTAGAATAATCCTACTGTGTATTGAGCTGACGGATAAGTGATGCATTTCGGTGATTTCGTTTTTCATTTCATTTCTGATGCATTTCGGTGAGGTGTCCAACTCTAGATCACTCTTGTTCTTGGCCTCACTTTCGGCTTAAAACTCGCATCGTGGTGTTTAAGATGTAATGAGACACGGCAGAAACTCCACAGTTCAGGTATTCGTTTTCATTGCGGTTATCTCGGAATCATCTCTGGCTGTTAAGCAAACTGGTGTATGGATAAGCTTGCACTAATGCCAAGTTTCATGCACATTTTATGAGTTGGACGAAAATTAATGACGTTTTCCAAAGTGCATGTTATGAGCATCTGCGGCCAGTGTCCGGGTCAGCATGGTGGTGCGGCTGGCTTCCACGGGTTAGATTCCCAGCTGAGCTGGATGGAATGGACTGAGGACTCGGAAGGTTTGCGTCAGTGAGGGAAAATTTGTGTCTCATGGATGGCCGAAGGAAGAGACGGGCAGAATGTACCGCTGTACATCCGTGTTTGACGGTGCAGCATGCTCTCCAGGACATCGGTTTCGGGCT